CGAGTATTTTCCAGAGACTGTAGAAACCCTCTCCTGAGCCAGCTTTTTTCCTCATTTAGCTTTTCTGGCTGTGGGTTGATGTCTCCTACTGAAGTTTAAACCCCCCGCGGTTGTTTACATGGTTTATAATTTGGCTTCCTGTGTGTACTTCATGGTGAGAGCCTTTGGATGAGCCACATGGGAGGTGGCATTTGTACAAGGTCACGTTTAGCATACGCACAAGGAAACTGTTTATTCATATCAGTGTCTTGCTCTTAGGATCCTTGGTGACTTTTCTGTTTTATATGATTGGCCCTTCCATGCTCGTATCTCCCCGTATCCTGCTACATTTTAATAAATTTGCCTTCCTGCAGCTAGAGGACTCTTCCCTAAAGAGAAGGCAAAGTTTATTACCTTGCCAGCCATTTCCATTCAGGTAGAATGGAAATACCAATTTAAACTCTCAGTCATAGAAAACCAAAGCAAACCAAAAACACAAAACCACTTACCCAAAAGGCAGCAGAGAGAGTTATGGGAGAGACAGTTAAACTGGATCCTAATTTTCATGCCACGTTGTTATTGCCATAATTTTGGAATATTTCTAAGTGATTAGACCTTTTTTTCCTATTAGCCTTTTTTTTAGCATTATGATATTCAATTTAAAATTTTTTTAATGTTTATTTTTGAAAGAGAGAGAGAGAGAGAGTGTGTGTGTGTGAGCAGGGGAGGGGCAGAGAGAGAGGGAGACACAGAATCTGAAGAAGGCTCCAGGCTCCGAGCTATCCGCACGGAGCCCTGATGCGGGGCTTGAACCCACGGACTGCAAAATCATGACCTGAGCTGATGCTGGACACTTAACCAACTGAGCCACCCAGGCGCCCCTAGCATTACGATATTCAAAATTATTCATCTTTCCCTGTGTCCTTGGAAATAACGTGTTTGGCATTTGTGAAACCAACACCAAATGCATAAATGTAGGATCGAATACTATTCGGCCACCAAAATGGTTTGAATGATTGCAGAGGACGACTTGGATGGGCTTCAAAGGCATTGGGCCGAGTGAACGACGTCAGTGTCAGATGTTTGCATATTGGCTGAGTCCATGTGTATGGTATTCTGGAAAAGATGAAATTATGTGAGGAAGACAGACAGGTGGCTGCCGCGGGCTGGGGATGATTTAAACCCCAGTGGGATAGCACGGATGAGTGTTAATGGGGTGACAGATCTGTTCTGTCTTGATTGTTGTGGTGGTCCCTCAAATCTATGTGTGTGTTAAAAACCGTACCATTGGAGGCACCTGGGTGGCTCAGTTGGTGAAGCAAGTGACTCTTGATTTCCGCTCAGGTCGGGATCTCAGGGTTCGTGGGATTGAGCCCCATGTTGGGCCCTGAGCTGACAACATGGAGCCTGCTTGGGATTCTCTCTCTCTCTTTCTCTCTCTCTCTCTCTCTCTCTCCCCCTCTCCTTCTCTCTCTGCTCCTCCCCTGCTTGGCCTCTCTCTCTCTCTCTCTCTCTCTCTCTCTCTCAAAATAAACATATAAACAATGTAGCCCTGTACACATATACAGAAAGGCAATTTTACCATTAAGTTTTCAAAAGTAAAATAAAGAAAAACAGAGGGCTTGATTATGCTTGTTGAGAACATCAAAAGTATATTCTAATGATAGTGGGGTATCAGGGACTCCTTTGAGGAAACTCTTAATTGTGCTGTTTTTATGTATTTATTTTGGAGAGAGAGGCAAACAGAGCATGAGCAGGGGAGGGGCAGAGAAAGAGAGAGAGAGAAACAGAATCTGGAGCAGCTCCAGGCTGAGCTGCGAGCACAGAACCCAATGCGGGGCTCGAACCCACGAGCCGTGAGATCATGACCTGAGCCGAAGTCGCATGCTTAACCGACTGAGCCACCCAGGCGCCCCTTAATTGTGCTGTTTTTAAAGAAAAGGCCCGTTGATGTGGTTACTGGGTTGACAAAGAAGTGAAATAATGTACCTTCTATTCAGTGGGTAATATCTTAGGCTCTATGCAGAATGTAGGGGAATATTCAAGGTTATGTGTCCCCCAGCAGCTGTAACGTGTCCTCTGGTGCCGATGTAGCATTTCGGTTCTTCTTTACGGTGATCGGTTTCCTTCATTCGTGTGTATATACGGTGTGTGACAGTTACGGTGGCCGTGGGAACCGTAAGTTTAAGTTGTGTGACTTTTCTGTGAGTAAAACCAGCCATAATGGTGAATTAATGTCATTCTTCACATTTAATTTCCATGTTGTTGTAAGTGGAAGGCGTATCATATATTTGGATAAAAGCTGTCAGTTTTGATAGTGTGGAAGCCACGGAGGGGATGTGGACTAATGGATACAACGAGACCGAGTTGGGAGAGCGCGTTTGGGGTGTACTCTGAGGGTTGACGTTTTCGAGCGCCTGGCCGTCCACCTTCATATTTGACAGTAGAAGATTCTGGACCACCACGGTCTTTGGCGAATGACCACGTACTTTAAATGGAAACCCTGATCCCAGTGCTGGGGGCTTTGTGGAATTGCCTTTGCACAGGATTGGTTAAGTGGAACATCGATTCGTTTCCTAAAACCGGAGACACTGGTGGGTCTTCAGGCCACAGAGCATCAGACGGCACGTGGTGCCTTGTGGGATCTGAACGTGGCAGTATGGCTGGGCTCTCTTGGTTTCGTAAATCGGGTGGAAGAGGGGGTTGTTGTGGGGTGCCTGGGTGGCTCAGTCGGTTGGGCGTCCAACTTGGGCTCAGGTCACAATCTCGCGGTTCGTGGGTTCGAGCCCCGTGTCGGGCTCTGTGCTCACGGCTCAGAGCCTGGAGCCTGCTTCCGATTCTGTGTCTCCCTCTCTCTCTGCTCCTCCCCCACTCACTCTCTCTCTCTCTCTCTCTCAAAAATAAAATAAACATTAAAAAAAATTTTTTTAGAGGAGGGGTTGTTAAGCTTCTGGGAGATACCGTGTGTGTTGTAAAAGGGCAAATCTTTTGAGACTGGGGGAGCTGAGTAAGGTTCTGATTGTCCTCATAAAGCGGTCATCGGATAGTCCTGTGCAACCATCCTGGGTGTCTTTCCCATAGAACAAATTAGGAGTTTGAAGAGCCGGGGCGGGGGGGGGGGGAGATGACTCGTAGAGGCTGTCCCCTCTTTTCTGGTCTGCTAACAGCTCTCCTGCACTGAGGGTTAGGGCTCTCTTCCTGGCTGGGCAGCAGTGGTATGTCCAGGGCCAAGGTCACTCTGGTGACCACAGGGCCAAGGTCACTCTGGTGACCACAGGGCTGGGAGCCTTCAGGAAAGGTCAAAGTGCCTGAAGTCACCCTTGGTCCTGGTGAATTAATCTGAAGTAAATGAATTCTATTTGCAGTCTTAGGGATGCTAGGCCTGGGACTGGTAGAGAAGGAGGCCGGTGTGAGAATCATGGGTGCAGAAGTCCCAGGGCCTCTGTCCTTCCTGGGAAAGGACTTGTCAGGCTTCAGGCCACCTTGTGATCAGGGCTGATGGCTGCCTGGTTGCAGCATTTTGTGATGGCCCTGCATGCAGAGGGGGTGGACCAGAGAACCCCTGCTTGTTCACGGCCCCTCACCCTCCCGCCGTGCCTCTTAAGGGTTGAAGAGCTGCCCTCGTGCTGGGGAACCCAGGGCCTCTTGCCACCTGAAGCTCTCTCTGAGAGAGACAGAGATGAAGAATGTGTGTGTGCGTGTGTGTGTGTGTGTGTGTGTGTGTGTGTGTGTTTGCGTGTCACTGCCTTGGAAGGCAGCCTACCATCCAGGCGGGATGTCTGCCCTGTGTCAGGACCTCTCTGATGGATGTGATGGATGGGAAAGACCAAAGACCATGGTGCCCCTGGTCCCTGCATCTCCCCTCAGTGGTTCAAGGTCATTGAAGCAGCCTCCGCAGGTCTGCTGCCTGCCTCAGTTTGCCTATGACTTCAGAGTTACCCAGCCTTGTGTGGAGGGAGAGACTCCGTGTTTCTCACACAGGAAATCAGCCCTGGATAATGTGCCCGACAGACAGAAACATATCCAAAAATGCTAGAAGATCATTAGCTCATTTCCCTTCCACTCTGCCTTTGCATACAGGCAGCCATCCTTACATCCAGCCCCAGAAACCTTCAAGGAGTCCCCAGATTCTTCCGGAACCTCTGTTGTACGTATAAAACCTGCGTAATGGACAGGTCTACTGTATCCTACACTGACTACTGACTGTTGACTGTTACCCATTTCGTTGCTCTGTGGGATCATTTCCTGGGTATTTTTTTTTTTTTTGAGAGGGAGAGAGAGAAAGAGAATGGGAGGGGTAGAGAGAGAGAGGGAGAGAGAACCCCAAGCAGGTTCTGCACAGTGTAGATCCTGACGCGGGGCTCAATCCCACCGACGAAGAGATCAAGACCAGAGCCAAAACTAGGAGTCAGAAGTGTAACCCACCGAACCACCCAGGCGCCCCTCCTGGGCATCTTAAATTAGAAAACATAGGCACCTCTCATTCTGAGGTCATTTGCTCAGAATTTGCATTTCTTACCCCTGGGTTGGTGACGGTACAGTCTCACGAAGGTACGGCTTGAGGAAGGTCTTCCGGATCACATTTTGAAACGTCTCCTCCTGCGTGACAAGCCCGGGTCTCCGGCACATGATCCGTCCATTTCTCTCCGGTGGGCAGGGGGGCCAGGCAGGCCCGGGGAGGGCGCTGGTGGGGTGACTCTCCTGCTCGCATTTCGTTCACTGGAAGAAAGCTGCTTGCACGCCAAGCCCCGGACGGACCAGGGACGATGGGGCAGCCCGGTGGTGGAGGACAATCAGCCTTATCCACACTGATGCTCCGATCGTGACCAAGACGGCCGAGGCTGCAGGCAGGTGGATTCCACCGAATCAAACTTTTGTTGCCAGGACTTGCCACACACGTGCAAAAGCAGCCCGCGCACCCGAAACTGAGCGCGCAGATGGCACCTTCAAGGGGATATCCCTGTAGGTTAATGTCATTTTGCTTTCCTGAAGCAGGTTGTTTCTTTCTCTTTTCTTTACAGAAGCTATGCGGCAGTGGTGATCTGAATGCTTCTCTGACATCCCAGCAGTTTGAAGAACGATCTGTGAGTGACAATGCCTTAAAAGCAAACGCTAGAGCAAATACTATAGATATTTCTTACCGAACGTCTGTATTTCTTTGCCTCTTTTATTTTTCAAGAACGCTGAACCATTGCAAAGACCGGCCTGGCGAATTATAGCTGGAAGAGATTAATTCCGAGTCTATTGATTTGTCAGACGGGGACGGGTTTTTCTAAAAATACAGAGCAGCTCTCCAGTTGAGTGGGAGAGTAAAGGAGACCAAGCCATTCTGAAGTGCTTTGAAACCTAGATGGGGGAGTTTTCAAAAGAAGGCTGTCAAGGGAGACCTAGCCACAGAATCGATTAATTGAATGTCAAAAAAGTGAATGATCAATTACTTTATCTGTCTCTTGTCTCTGGAAAGACAACAATTTGGACAGTGCAAAACTCTGGTTCGAAACTTTAGTTGGATTCATTTGATGAATATTCGAAAAGAGACTTGCATTCAACATGGTGGCCTGTGGGAGACGATGCCTTCCTGGGGAGGGGAGTGAGCTAAGGTGAGGGGAGGAAGACTGAAGGTCAAGTGTAGGAGACTCCACGGGGGTGGGGGGGAGCAGGGAATGGAGGAAAAATATGCCGAGGGGAGAGCATGCAAAGGCATCATATGTGGACACAGGAGGGGCAGGTGCCTTATGCACCTGTGGGCCGCGGAGGCCGGCAGCTGAGCGGTCCTGAACGTGAACTGCAACGTTTTTACTTCACGGGGAAGAGGTGCAGGGGAGTGGAAGGGCTTGGGGGGAAGGGGGAGAAAATGAGGAAGCCACTTTACCTCAGAAGTGTTCACATGTCTGTCGGGGCCAGCCCCACAGCTGCATTTCTGCCTGCCACTTCCTCCCTCGTGTTCCTCCGCGAGTTCTAGAAGAAAGAATCCTGCAGGGGCACCGGGCTGGCCCAGTGGGTTGAGAGTCCGACCCCTGACTTCAGCCCAGGTCATGATCTCGCGGTTCGTGAGTTCGAGCCCCGCATCGGGCTCCGAGCTGGCAGTGCTGGAGCCTGCTTGGGACTCTCTCTCTCTCTCTGCCCCTTTCTCTGCCCCTCCCCTGCTTGCTCTCTCTCAAAATAAACAAAGAAACTGAAAAAAAAAAAAATTAAAAAAGAAAGAATCCTACAGGAAATCGCGGAGTTGAAGGGTATTTCAGATACCGATATACTTCCGAGGGCATAATACCCCTTGTGTGATTTGGGGGGCGGGGGGAGTTAAATATTGCGAGGATCCCATCGTGAATTTGGATACAATCCCACTGGAGATAATTATAGAGGATATGTTAGTAAGACCTAGTAACCCGGTCATCAAGGCGGGTGGGGTGGCAGATGAGGCTTGAAGGTGGCGACCCCCTGCCCCCCCCCCTTTTTTTTTTTTTGCTCTCAAGTTAACAGGTGTTCGTAAAATTCTCTTCCTCGGTCCCCAGACACCAGACTTACCTTCCTTCTCCATCTGTGCAGATGTTTGGGGAAGCCGGCGATGGCGTGAGTAACCTGCCCAGTCCTTTTGCCTACCTCCTCACCATACACCTGAAGGAAGGCCGCAACCTGGTCATCCGAGATCGCTGCGGTAAGCCTGGCTCTTCTGGGTGCCTTGTAGCCCGCGCACCTGTCTCTCCACTCTTGTTTCTGTGTTGTTAGTGCACCTTTCTCGTCTCGCGCAACAGAGCGGAGCTCAGACCTATACCCCGCAGGGATCGAGCATTTGCAGCAAAGTTATTTGAAGACCCTGCATCTTCCTTTCCTTTAGTGTGGTTAAATGAACAACGAGAATGGCAACAGTAAGGACAGTAATCATCACAATAATGATGTGAGTAATAATTCCATGAAATAAGGCCACGAGAATAGCGTTATCCTGGCGGCTAGCAGCTGCTCAAGAAAACGCTCCCTCGATTCCACTCTCATTACACATAAGAAAAGACGTGAACGTACGTAAGAAGTACATAATTTCTTGTGTATACGTGAACGTGAGCATGTGTGTGAATATGTGTATATGTGAATAGACGTGAGAATGATACGTAAGCAAAAGATGTCCGTGCGAGGTCCCCAAATGTACACAGAGCCGAAGATGCCCTTTGAACCCCATCCCCTTCCTGCACTGAAATCCCACGGGGCTTCCCTCCCTCAGGAGAACATTTGTTATCTGCGTATCATTTGATTCGTTCACTTTCCCCCCCTGTTTCTGTGCCTTTAAAACACACACATGTACACACGTGTGTTTTTTAAAAGTTTATTTATTTTGAGAGAGAGAGCACGCACAAGCAGGGAAGGAGCAGAGAGAAAGAGAGAGAGAGAGAGAGAGAGAGAGAGAGAGAGAGAGAATCCCAAGCAAGTGCGACACTGTCTGTGCACAGCCCAATGCAGGGCTTGAACACGAACTGTGAGATCACAACCCGAGCCAAAATCAAGAATTGGACGCTCAACCAACTGAGCCACCCAGGCGCCCCCACACGTGTATGTTTTTAATTGACGTGATACTGTAACGTCCCTATTAGCCCCCAATAAGCTTTCTTTTTGCTTCACGATACGTATTCAAGATCGATGATGGTTTTCCATGCAAGTATATCTCCATTCTTTTAAATGCTATGCAACATTCCATAGTATGATGTGTGATTTATTCAGTTTCTCTACTGACAGTTGCTGCTTTTTTTTTTTCAACTTTCTCGGCAGCGTAAATGATACTATAATGAGCACCCTGTGTTTGTTTTTGGCACAAATAAGAATACATCTTTCAAAAAGTAGCATGTGCTTAAGTGTAGACGGTGGGGCCAGACTGCCCGGGCTCAAAGCCTTCCCTTCTCCAGTTGTTGTTTGATTCAAGAAATGTCCCTTGGCCCCTCTGGGAGTTCGTTCCCTCATCTATACAATGAAGGTAATAATAGTAACCTTTATTGTAGGCTGTTAAAAGCATGGAAGGTAATAACTTACCTAAAGTGCTTACAACTACATCTGGCTTCGAGCACTTCACGGAAGTTAACTGTTGGGGCGCCTGGGTGGCTCAGTTGGTTAAGCGACTAACTCTTGATTTGGGTTCAGGTCAGGATCTCACTGTTCGTGGGATCGAGCCCCATGTTGGGCTTTGTGCTGACAGTGCAGAGCCTGCTTGGGATTCTCTCTCCTGGTCCCTTCCCTTGCTAGCTTGCTCATTCTCCCTCTCTCTCTCTCTCTCTCTCTCTGTCTGTCTCGAAATAAATAAACAAACATTAAAAAAAAAAAGATAACTGTTGTTAGCATCCGGGACAGAACCTAGAAATAGAAGTCAGGATCCAGGGGATACGTGTTGTTAAAAATTTAAGAAACCCTGGCAAATTGTCCTCCAGAAGGCAGAAAGCATGCCCTTTCTTACAGTATGTTACTATTGTTGAATATCTACTTTTATCACTGTTCGTTTTGGGCAATCTCATAGATTGGGTGTGGACTCTCCTTATTTTAATTTGTACTTTGTCGGGGCGCCTGGGTTGAGCGTCCGACTTCAGCTCAGGTCATGATGTCGCAGCTCGCGAGTTCAAGCCCCGCTTCGGGCTCTGGGCTGACAGCTCGGAGCCTGGAGCCTGTTTCGGGTTCTGTGTCTCCCTCTCTCTCTGCCCCTAACCCACTCGCCTTCTGTCTCTGTCTCTCAAAAATAAGTAAGCATTAAAAAAAGTTAATTTGTATTTTGTGGATTGTCATGGTAATGAACGTGGGTTTCGTCCAGTTTTCATTTGAGTTTCTTCTTCTCTCTGTTTGTAATTCTTTGTAACTTTCAGCATTAATGGTTGTTTATTACAAGTTGCAAGTATTTTTCTCTCAGTCTGTTATGTCTTATTTCTATGGCCGCTTTTATCCTTTAGAGGTTTTGCATTTCCTTATAGGCAAATATATTTGTGTTTTCTTTATAGTTTATTTATTTTTTTACTTATTTATTTAATTAATTTATTTAAAATGTTTATTTATTTTTGAGAGTGAGAGAGCACGAGTGGGGGCGGGGCAGAGAGAGAGAGAGAGAGAGAGAGAGAGAGAGAGAGAGAATCCCAAATAGGCTCCACACTGTCGGCACTGAGCCCCACACAGGGCTCCAACTCATGAAGGAACCATGAGATCCCGACCTGAGCCGAAATCAAGACTCAGATGCTTTATCGACTAAGCCACCCAGGCTCCCCTATAGTTTTTTGTGTTTGTTTTTTTTTTTTATTTTATTCAGTTTAGTAAGAAGGGATTTTTTTTTTTTTTTTATTCTAAGGAATTGAGTGTCTTTCTTTCTGTTGCTTCGTTTCTACTCTGTTCTGGAATATGAAAAGGACAAAGTACCTCCTAGACCCTTCTTTCAGTGCTCTTAAGTCCGTTAGCTTGTCTTTCTCATTCTTCCCATGGTTTTTTTTTTTCCTTTCAGGGAGAATTCCTCAACTTGGCCTTCCAGCTTACTCATTTTCTTGTCAGTTGTGGCCATTGTGCAGTCAGGTCATGTATTGAGTTGCCATTTAATTTTTTTCAACGTTTTTTATTTATTTTTGGGACAGAGAGAGACAGAGCATGAACGGGGGAGGGCAGAGAGAGAGAGGGAGACACAGAATCAGAAACAGGCTCCAGGCTCCGAGCCATCAGCCCAGAGCCTGACGCGGGGCTCGAACTCACGGACCGCGAGATCGTGACCTGGCTGAAGTCGGACACCTAACTGACTGCGCCACCCAGGCACCCCGAGTTGCCATTTAATTTTATATCAGCCTGTGATTATTTCACAAGTGAGATGATACCATCGTGTTTCTGAGAATATTAAGTCCCCACTTAAAATCTCGTGCTTCATCCCTTGGATGTCAGCATCGTGTGTTCGCCACTCACGTTTCTGTGTGTCCCTCTGTCCTTGCCCCGCCATCTGCGGGCGCTGTTTTTGTTTACGGTGTCCTCCCTTCCCTGAGAGCGAGCAGGGCTAGGATAAGCGAATGGACAGGCTGCATCACTAGTTCAGGCAGCTCCTTCCCGTTCCCCCCCAGTTATCACCAGTTCCCAGTTATCACCTCTCACCCAAAGCCTTCCTTTCTGGCTTACTGTTCATGCTCCCTGTTCCAGCTTGCAGTCCAAGTCTGTTGCTGGTCACTGGTTGGCCCCGAGGGGAGAGGACGGTGCTGGCCCAGCTGTTACAGGCTATGCTAGTCGGTTGGCCGAGAAACCGACGGTGTCTCAGGCCACCAGCTGCCTCCCCTACCTGCTGCCTGCAAGTTAAGAGCATCCCTGGTTTACCCACCACACACCCTCACATGCTCCCACCCAGCCCTGCTTCTGAAACCTTTTTGCTGTAACTTTCTTCTGCTCACGTTTTGGATTGCGGACTCTTTGCCGATCTGATCTCACCTGACTTCCATCTTTCAGGATCCGTGAAATATGTTGACTTTAAAAAAATTTTTTTTTAAGTTTATGTATTTCGAGGAAGGGACAGCATGAGTGGAGGGGGCGCTGAGAGAGAGGGAGCGAGACGATCCCAAGCAGGCTCCGGGCTGCCAGCACAGAGCCAGATGCGGGGCTTGAACTCACGAACCGCGAGAGCATGACCTGAGCTGAAGTCAGACGCTTCACCGACTGAGTCACCCGGGCGGCCCTGCTCACTTTTTTTAAAAACAAAACTGCTATCCCTGCCTGTCTGTATCTTTGTACTTCCTCAGATATAGGACTTCAAAATGGTGGGGGGGGGAAATCTCATTTTTTACTTGTTGGTAAAACGTGTTTTCTATGAAAATCATAATTTCTCATCTATCGATCGTGTGACTTCTTATGTTCTGTCGTTGGGCACTATGGTCGTAAACATATGCCTTTTAATAGATGCATCCCTTATGTTATTTTTAATGATTTGAGCGGGTAGCATTTCATACCTGAAATAACCCCTAGGGAATAATCATAAACCGGTGTAGAGTTAACTCCCACGAAAACACCAACTCTGGCTTTGAATTGGCACGGTGTCCCGTGGGGGCTTCTGTCAAATGAGGATCATTATCGAGCTTGTCTTATGACAGCTTCTCTGGAGCTGGAGAAGAATGTTCCATGGAGAGCATATTTAACTTGACTAGGAAGAGGGTGTTCCAAACCTTTAAACACCACGTTTTGTTTTAAATTCTTGGAATTCCTCTAAGAGTTTGTCACTTTGGGGAGGGAGCGCAGGCCCTGGAGTACCCCCGCACGCCAGCTGTCCCCTTTCCAGTTTACCCGTTCTCTCTGGATCTTTCTCCCAGAGTGAGTTCTCTGGCCCTACCATCATTGACGTATCAGAACGATAGATTCCAAGTAGCAGGTTCCTAGTAGGGGGTCAGTAACCTCAGTGGATGATGGAGAAGACATCGCACCTGGTAGAAAACAACCAAAATAATGCAGTGTGGGTGCGCTTGCTCAATGTCTTGGCCGTTGGGCGACAAAAGAGAGACCATAGCTTGTGCTATGATCCCGGCCACTGTCATCTCTGTCTGAATAGTTTCATCAGAGTTAAAACGTCTTATGACTTTGGCTTTATCTTGTGTAAACCTAACACGATCCAAATATAAATACCTACTAAGGCGTCTAGGTCATAAACCGTATCGTTCCAGAACCTGTATCTTTTGTAGCCATTAG